GCTTCGTTCGCATGGACTTGAATTTAAAAACGTCAATAATACTATATCGTACTAAAATTAGCAAAACTGGATCACTAGTAGAGACACCACGGTATCTGTGTCAATATTGGATTTAAGAAATGATTGAACTTTCACAAAATAATATGCTATAGAAACACATAAGTGACTTTATCACAATTGCATTAATATCATACGTCTAGCGACACCCTTTTTTATCGGGTATGTCTTACGCTGTGTCTTTTGAAGGGAAAATTGCCCTAGAATCAAAAATGCGTTATTTACATATTATTCATAATTAAAGTTGCATATAGTTTAGACATAGTTTTGACAAAATAATGTTGAATGTCATGGTATTTATTAATATGGACCCATGGATAATATATTGATTGACATCGTAAAATACATGCCAGTATTTTTTTACGTTCGTGTAGACTTCAACATTTCATATGTAGTTCTGTTCACGATGAACGTGTGAGAAGAACTATATTCATGATCGGAGGTACAAATATACAGAAGATGGGCAGCAGCGTATTCCCGATAAAAGCTCAAAACAGTAAAAATATGCAGATTGCAACTCGCATGCGAAGCGTGACAACTACGGCAAATATCCTACTTATTTGGTAATTTGTGGGACGAATCAAATTAATGAACGAGAGTAGAAATACGAGTATATTAGCCATGTAGCGGCGACGAAAAAGGAACCACTATCCCATTTCGTCCCGTTGGTGCCCTAAGAGACGACAGAGGGAAATTGAAACAGGAGATGGGTGGCAGCGTCTTCCTGATAACAGTGCAAAGTAATAATAAGCTGCGGTTGCTAACCCACTTGCCAAGCGTGAACACTACTGCAAACATCCGGTCTGTTTGACAAACAATGGGGGAAGCCTATGATCAGCAGTGGATAGCCCTATTAAAAGTAAAAAAGTAACAGTCTAGATACATTCCACTACTGGTCACAGGCCGCAGCGAGTTTTAGGTGAAAAAGGAGTTGATTGAGTTGACTCCAACGCGGAATGACCGGCACATTCACACACATGTTACTAGAAATGATTTCCGAAAATTTCAGGTTTCTTCGCGATGTTTTTCTTCACCACCCAGGACGTGGTAAATTAAAACTTCGAACTGCAATTTAAATAAGAGTGGAGTCAGATCGAATTGGGGTTGCTTACGTATACTACGAAATTGACGCTTAGATCGGTTCGATTACCGGCTTTGACATGACTTTCAAGGTTGTATCAATGCAATTCTAGTCATAGTTAAAATTAAAGTACTATTACTATTACTATTTTTTCGCAAGAGACTGTTCATTTACCCATATGACCTATGAAATCGGGCCTGTCACAAAAATTTTAATAGTTATGTTCGAAAATATGAAAGCTATCTTAATATATGACAAGCTGTTTAGTCTCATTAAAATAAAAAAGGCTGCGTCAACTGTATGACGTAGTATTCCATCAATTATGGATAAAAATCTTATAGTGCACTTAATAAATTTAATTTTACAATGATTTCTTAAATTTACGCGAACACTACACATTGAATAAAACTTAATACAAAGACCACTTTCATTTATTTTTTCCAGATATTATTAGAATTACAGACACGACTCTTCTACAGATTTATTATATGTATAGATAAGAAATTATAACGAAATAAATAAAATATTAATTTACAAAATATGAAACAATTTAAAAAAAATACGCACATGCGATTGCTAGATATCAAAAGGACCGCTCGGCTCAATAATCAATAGTTGACTGACGTGAACCTCATGGTTTCCAATCTTGATAGTAAAAATAAAAAATATACCTAGTACTTCCTTTTAACTTAAGTTCAAACAATCCTTTACCAGCAACAGAAGTTTAGGTTTGTAGCTTTACAATATTTAACCTAAACTCCTAGTAAACTATTTGTTATTTTTTACAAAAACCTTTCTCACAAGCTGCCTACAAGCTTTTCCGAAAAAAAAACTATATATAATATAAATCTATGTCTTTGAATTTAAATAAATGCCCATTAACCTGAAAAAATATCATGACATAAATCAATAAAGACAGTTCTCTATGATTATTTAAAATACTAAATTCATGTAAAAATGTGCTTGACTAAATGTGTTAAGATAACAAACCAAATAAAACTAGCATCATAGCCAAAAATGCAAGTATCTAAGTTATTTTATTTTTCATTCATTATAGCCTAGCAAAAGTCCACTGCAGTACATAGGCCTCCCAATCTTTGAGATTAAACCAATTGATTGAATGCTTAAAGCTCCCGATATGGGGATATTTACCTAGTCACGTCTGCCGCTTGCCACGCTAGGCAGGCGGGTTCGCAACCGCAGTTCTTTTACTTTTCATTTTTGCGCATGATTTGTTTCTCTCTGCTGCCGCTTACGACACCCACGGGATGGACATAGGGTAGTGGGTATTCTTACACCGCCACTACACGGTCAAGTAACTGATAAAGCTAAGTAAAAAGTAAATATAAACAATATCGATTTCCAAGGATAATCCAGACATAAACTTTATTATTTATTTTTATTGCTTTGCTGCGCATAATTGTTTTACGTAATTTCGACAAATAGCCACTTTGACCTAAAAAAATTGTAAAATCTTTTGTTTGACCCTCACGAGACAGGCCGTGCCTAGTGTGGGAGTCTGAGAACTTATTGTATTTTGGCTAAGTATTTTTCTGGTAAATAAATAAATTATTAATTATTATTATTATTATATTGTTGGTAGAAAAGCCTAGCCTGTAACCTAAGATAAAGAATTCTAGTGTCTTTGCCTGTAACAGTCCACTGTTGGATTGGTAAGTCTACTGCTGTACTATTAAGAACTGACAAAGAAAGCCTCTAGATGTAAAAAAAAAAACAAAAACTAGGGCATGATCACGATAACCAAATGTTTTATGTATGACCACGCATAACTTTTATAAAGTAGTCCGATTTTCATAATTCTTTTTTGTTGGATAGGGTGTACCTTGAAACTGGTGCCCATAAATTTGGAAAAAAATTCATTTTTGTTAATACCATTGAAGAAATTTCTTCTAGCGAAAATTTCTTTGTTTTTCCTTTGTATTCGACAACGATCATTGGTTTACCTTTTTCTGAGACTACACTAAATGGCCAATTTTTAATATCTTGTTGAATTTTGGGATCATCAAATTTTCTTCCAATGTTTCGTTTTGCATCGAAAACTGTATTTTTTGGGTTCATAACCATGTGTAATTTATTAATTAAATTTAAATAAATAACCAAGTCAAAGTAACATTTCAAAAAATACGCTCTCCGCACGTCCACTCACAACGACGTGTGTCATAGATAAATAGATATCAGGTACACTTTCATATTTTAGGTTGGGTTCAATAATTTGCAAAGACACTAGTGCCATCTTTTACTATATCCGCATAAACTTTCGAACATTAAATTCTAAAAGGTGCGCTAGATGGCGACTACATCAATTCTGGTTATTCTCGAACTGGCAGGTAGCGACTTTATATAACATAATGGCTACCGGCGTCTGAACAAGTTATTGTTTTATTATATTTAAGTTTATAAGTGATTTTCGATTGTTGCTACAATAAGTTCGGTTGAGTCGCGATTAGTCCTCGGTTTCTTGTTGTCTGTTTAGATTTTCATGCTGGAACCACATTGTATGTTTGTGTAGTGTTGTGCGAAATAAACGCTTTCATTTATCATTCCGGTAACCCGGTGGACATATTTAATTTGGTTTGGTGTTGTATTTTGCGGAATAGACGGTTTTACAACGTGTGTGTTAAATAAATATAACAAAAATAAATGTTAATATTACTGAAATCTATAATACGTCTTTAATTGAACCCTAATCCCTTAAAATATAAATATAACCGCCTATAGTATAGATGTATATACAATATACATAACTACAAACAGCTATCTATAGTCAACATGATATTGAGATTAGTTCAAGGGATATGATACCAGACGGCGACACTATTCATATTGGGTGACAAAAAATCCTAGGAGATGGCTCTCTATTTCTGTATACATTACTCTGTTATAGATTTGTAGCAAGCTAGCGTGAGTACCCGTTCCAGGTGGCACGTTCCAGCCTGCAGATATTAAAATTTCAAAATAAAAAAATCTCATTTTATAGATCTCAATTAGCCCTTTCGACCTACGTTATTTAATTTATAAGCCCGTTTTTCGTTTTCCCATGAAAAATAGAAATATAATTTTCAATTTTCCTCTACTTAAAATAGCCATATCTCTTTGAAAAATGATTATTTTTTACTCTACCAAGCGTGAAAAAATGCCCTGAATTTAATTTGCCCGCGTGCTAATTCTTAAAAATATTCAATAATTATTATTGTAAGCAATAAAAAACCGTCGTGGCATTTCCAAGCCAATTATTTGCTGTGTGACTTTCTCGCTGACATTAACTTCGCGAATGCTCGGCATTTTCCGGCAAAAGGCCGTGTCGCGCCGCGCATTATGCTTTACGTAATTAATAATTTGCTGGTTTGGCGCCGACTCAAAATTACTTAGGTATACTTACAACATTAGTTTAAGAACTTAGTTATTGAGGTTGACTAAAAACTCAAAATAATTACAAATATATATACTTATGTATACTTAAATTAGTTTAAGAACTTAGTTACTAAGGTAAAAGGAAAAGGTTTATTATATTTGCTTTCCAGTTTTTTCGGCGGTTTAATTTTTTTGTTGAGTAAATAGTTTATATTAATTTCTATTATGGCCTATAGACTATTGTTATATATACTAGAAATTATGGCTAATAGATAGCAATATCATTTTATGTATTATGCCAGAACCAGATAAAATAATATCTGTACTGAATTTAGCTTAACCAATTTTAATTAGGTACCTATTTAACATTTATTTATTATTTTACATTTACAGTCCCTAACAATGGAAAATACAAGAAATCACAGTTGTACTCTACGTGGCCTCATATAAGAAAAAAATATTACACTATTCTTTGGAATATAGTACCACAATGCCAATACCAGCTGTAGGAATCGACCTTGGAACAACATACTCATGCGTGGGCGTCTTCCAAAATGGTAAGGTGGAAATCATCGCCAACGACCAGGGTAACCGGATCACGCCATCTTATGTTGCGTTCACGGAGACTGAGAGATTGATTGGTGATGCAGCAAAGAATCAGGTAAACCAAAACTAACACATTTCTTAATAAAACGATAGCTTACTTATTTCAGTTTATGATTCAAGAATATTCTGTATCTACATCGGTATAATATCCAGGATATTTAAGCTAAAAATTTCAATATTTAACTTCAAAATTGTCTACTGACACCTAAATTAGTCATCCAAATTAGTATTAAAATATATTGTTACTCAAATTATTACATTGAAGCATCGTTTAAAAATTGATATAACTAGTATAAATAACTTCACAAAATATTTAGCAGGTATAACAAAACTATCTGTTCAATAAATTACAGATGGTTATAAACCCAAAAAATACAGTTTTCGATGCAAAACGAATGATTGGAAGAAAATTTGATGATCCAAAAATTCAACAAGATATTAAACATTGGCCATTTAGTATAGTCTCAGAAAAAGGTAAACCAATGATCGTTGTCGAATACAAAGGACAAACAAAGAAATTTTCACCGGAAGAAATTTCCTCAATGGTATTAACAAAAATGAAGCAAATCGCAGAAACGTACCTGGGAGGTACTGTACAAGACGCTGTAATAACAGTGCCAGCATACTTTAACGATTCTCAAAGACAAGCAACAAAAGATGCTGGGACGATTGCTTCGTTAAACGTCCTTAGGATAATCAATGAGCCAACAGCGGCGGCCCTCGCTTACGGCTTAGATAAAGATTTGAAAGGTGAAAAAAACGTATTAATTTTTGATCTTGGTGGTGGCACGTTTGATGTTTCAATACTTCAAATAGCTGAAGGATCGTTGTTTGAAGTGAGATCAACTGCAGGCGACACTCACTTAGGAGGCGAAGATTTTGACTGCCGAATGGTGGATCATTTCAGTCAAGAATTCGAGAAAAAATATAAGAAAAATCTTAAAGAGAATCCAAAAGCAATCAGAAGGCTCAGAACAGCATGCGAAAGAGCTAAAAGGACACTTTCTTCTAGTACTGAAGCTAGCATAGAAATAGACGCATTACATGAAGGCATCGATTTCTATTCTAAGATATCTAGAGCTAGGTTTGAAGAATTGTGTTCCGATTTGTTCCGCCAAACATTGGGACCAGTCGAGAGGGCGCTTAAAGACGCTGGACTCAATACAAGAGAAATTCAAGATGTAATTATGGTTGGTGGTTCTACTAGAATTCCGAAAATCCAAAAGCTTTTACAGGTACCAACCGCACCAAAACTGTTTTTATTTTGAAACCATTTTTAAGTAGTTGTCATATTCAAATAACCTAAACTTTTATTTGCGTTAGGACTTCTTCAGTGGGAAGACCCTAAACCTTTCCATTAACCCTGATGAAGCAGTAGCATATGGTGCTGCAGTTCAAGCGGCTATTATTTCTGGAGTTCAAGATACTCGAATACAAGACGTGCTGTTGGTGGATGTGGCACCGTTGTCGTTAGGCATAGAGACAGCCGGTGGTATTATGACAAAGATCGTTGAAAGAAACACACGTATACCTATTGCACAGAAAAAAATATTTACCACGTATGCTGATAATCAACCTGCTGTAACAATTCAAGTAAGTAATAATTAAAGGAAGTTCCAATAACTTCTTCGCTTCCTCGCTTTTCCGCGAAGACAATAGGGAAAATAAGTATATGTTCGTCATGCTAGTCTATCTTAAGTTGGCAGGTTTCCCAAGACATAGAAATATATTTTCTTATACATGCGGTTTTTCAGTCTAATTACTGAACACTGAATTTCATCGGTAATATCACAAGAAAATGTATTATACCCGTACAAAATATTCAGTTTAAGGCGAGTATCTAATGCTGTTTTTACATGAAGGAATGCCTACGCATACCCGCCTCGCGGGGCGAGGACGGGTACTAATATCGGACTCGCACCGACTAAACCCCATGGTGTTCCACCTTCGACGCAAACAGGCAGGACCACCGAAATGCTTTCGCTCACATCCGCGGCCTCACCAGCGCTGGCTCCTGCATGGCGGTTCCTTCTCGGGAGAGAACTACGCCTCCCACATCTCCTTCTTAGGTAAGGCGCGCCAGAACACGTGGCGCGCCTTTCTCCGCGGCCTTAAACTTGACGAACGAATATATCCGAATATAGTATATACGAATTCGACTGCGTTAGAACAGGCCAGCGGCGTCTCGCAATAGCGTCACTCTTATCCCCCCGCAGCTCCAACACCACCGCATCAAAGGTACAGCCCCGCCAGAATCGTGGAGGGTGTGGCGAGTGGTGCCACGTCATACCAACACTCCTCTTCCTTCGCGACTGCACTCTGACTGCGGCGGTAGGGGGAGGGGACAACACTCTCGCCGTAGTCCACTAAAGCGGGCTACATACGACACGATATCGGTGGCGATCTAGGGTGGAGTAGTGGGGATGCCTCCTAGATTGCCTCTAAATCGTGTCGTATGTAGGGCCATCCTAAGTCGTGGCCGATATCGCCTCCTTAATCGGCTGGCAGGAGCAAAAATGCTTCCTAGATCAGCCGATGCTTCCTAGATCGGGGCACCGCCCCCTCCTTACTGCGTGTGTGTAGGCGCATCGGCCCGATTTCTTTTAGCAGTCGCTGCCGGCAACCCTCGCGGAAGGAAGTTAACAAAACAGTGATACTGAATGACCTTTTTTATATAACAAAATTTTTACATTTTAATCATATAAACGGAGTAGAAGCCTATGGCACTGATATTTTACAAAAAACCAAAAAAAAGTGAATAAAATAAATAAATTAATTGAAATTTTATCGAAATTCAAATCATATCCACCCTAGCCTGTGACCCTGCGAAGTGACATGGTCAAGAATGCCTACTAAACTAATATTTTTTATTGCCGTTCGTAAAGTAGAGTGTATGATGTAAGTAAGGAGAAGATAAAGCCTCTCCTCAACAACTAACTCCTATTCCAACGCTATCAACACAAGACCGCACTCATATCTCTTACAACTTCGATCTCTTACGTGCCTTCATCCTCTTATCAACAACTAACTTCTACTCCTTCACCATCTCCACATCAACAAACAAGTTATATAAAAGGGAGTATGTCCGAAATTAAAGGTTTCTTCATGTTTAAAAAAAAGATATAAGCTATTTTATTTTCTGATAGTTTTACTCCATAAATAAAGATTACATTAAAAAAAAAGTATACATATTATTATACAAAAGTATTTTATTTCCTTGTTTGTTGTGTGTAATACATAACCAGATTTTGACCAAAGCAGAAATGAACAAAGAGAAGAAATAACTAAATAGCATAGGTAGGAGAAATTGACGTTTTTATATAAGTGGCGAAATCATTTCTAGAAGGTTATAAACACTGTCTTCATCCATCCGGAGAAAATTAATCACGTCCTTGGATTACAGGCCATTTAGTACGTTTATGTGGCTTAATTTTTATCTCTTTTTGGAGCCATTTTTTCACCCAGCAACTTCTCTTTTTCTATTTTCGAATAAATTAACCGAGATGGCTAATGCCAAACCAACACGGTGGTGTTTTAAGAGAGTCGGAGGTATTTTGAAGAACTCTACCGCATATGCATTCCGCTCCAAGTCCGAACGCGTACTGCTAGGCAGGCCCGTGTGTAAGGTCTACCCCGATAAAAGCCCCGATTTCTTTCCACCCTAGATCGCCACCGATATCGTGTCGTATGTAGCCCGCTTAACACACATCCAAAGCGGGCTCGCCAAGCCCACTCAGAGTGACAATCACGAGCCGCTCTTCAGCACGGACCATTCATATGAGTTTCTCTTAGTTCACCGTTGGTGACCGGGCCGCGGCTACTGCAACAAAAAGGCGGAAACCCGTTCGGGGGGGAAAGTCTGACGCCAAAGCTACCGCAACTTATTCTATATAACCAAGTTTTATTTAGTAAATTTGTTGTTTAGATATACGAAGGCGAAAGGGTGATGACAAGAGATAATAATTTACTCGGAACATTTAATCTTTCGGGTATACCACCTGCTCCTAGGGGAATACCACAAATCGAAGTAAGTTCCTTAAGATTTTCTTTAACAGTAAGCAATTGGACTGTTGACAGACTAATGTGTACGAGTATAAGATAGCGTACATGTAAGACACAAAGTTCACAACTAGGTAATACTAAGGTGGAACCTGACACCACAAACTTTTTATTATACATACCGAGAAATTTAAAGTGGATTAGTGGATCAAATAATAATATTAAACGGAGGTCATAAAGCTCCAATCTATTATATTATATAAAATATTTTACGTAATAGAGCTACACTGCAGCTATATTACCAGCTACTATAGCTGCTGCACGAATGGGTCGGCTTAACCAGGGAAAGACCACGCTTTAACAGAATACAGCGTAAAATAGCCCCATAATTCTGCTGTGTTTCGTTCAGTGTGTTGAGAGCCGGAAACCCTTTTTACTAGTAACGATGCAATGTTAAGCCCACACGGCAGAAAACGCGTCTACGTTTTGATTCCTTATCAAGAATAGATGTGGGTGTTTATATGTCACAATATTCCATTGGACTGTGTGGACTCGTTTGTCACCCAAATTGATTATACGCACACCGCACACGTAACACATAGGTGTCATTAGTATACATATTATTGTAAGAATATATACATTAAACCTCCCAGTGCCAACCTCGCCCGCATTTAATTAACTAGCTTACCTAATTATGTCGCCAATGGGCGCACTACTGTATTCCGGTCTGCAGGGGTTATAGCCAGTATAATTACAGGATGTGACGACATCTTAATTCGCAGAGGTGATAACGCAACTATTGCTATCTTTGTTCAAACTTGGATGCAGTTGTCCAAAGGTAACAGAAGCCACTTATCATCATTTGGACTCTAATTTCATTTGTTGCTTCAATTTTATGAAAATAAAGTATTTCAATTGACTAATCGGGAGATTACGAAACATCTTTTCGTCAATTATATCTCAAAACTTGAAAGATTGACCAGCGAGTGTTACCAGTGATGACTTATGGATCTGAGGTCCTTCATTGCTGGCCGTATGAGGAAGCTCAAGGTCGCTCAACGAGCTATGGAGAAGGCTCTGCTCCTTGTTTTTTTGCGTGATAAACTTAGAAATAAAGATACCCGCAACAGAACCAGAGTAACCAACACAGTCCAACGAATAAGTAAGCTGAAATGGAAATTGGACGGCTATATAGCTCGAGGAACCGACAACTGATGGGGAAGCAAGTTTCTCGAATGGCAGTCTGGGACCCCCCCCCCCCCTAGATGAAATGACAACCTGCTAAGATATGAAGGAAGTCGATGGATGCATGTGGCTCACGACAATGATTTGTGGCATCCTTTGGGGGACGCCTATGTTCAGCAGTGGACTTGTGAATGAAAATGAATTGACTAATATCAAATTACTTATTACATTCCAGGTAACATTTGACATTGACGCAAACGGAATTCTAAACGTAAGCGCCGAAGATAAGAGTACTGGTCGATCGGAACACATCACTATATCAAATGATAAAGGGCGTCTTAGCAAGAAAGATATTGAGAAGATGCTGCAAGATGCCGAGAGGTTTAAGTCAGAAGATGAGGCAGTGAGGAGGACAGTGGAAATGAGGAACCAATTGGAGGGATATTTATTCGGATGTAAAGCTGTACGGTTTATAGATATTTGGTGTATATTTACTGTATTGACTACCTTGTTGGTCCAGTGGTAACGTAAGCGCGAATTCTTTGCTCTAGTATTATCAGTCCATCTATTGTTCACAACTGAACATAGGTCTTCCCCCAGAGGGGCATAGTTGCCACGTTTAGCAAGCTGGTTAGCAGCCACAGTTTTTTGTTACTATTATTGAGTTCATATAAGGAAGATTCTGTTACCTCCTGCTTCAATTTCCCACTGTCACCTCTTAATACACATACATATGAAGATAATACGGCAATATTACAGCTTATACATGGCATACGGTTGATAGTTTTTTTTTTCAGATAAAGACGGCTTATACGGAATTATTTCTTATTTTTAAAATATTTTTTTATTTTAAGCCAGTGCTGGACCAGAATCCCATCTGGTGGTGAGTGGGAATAAAGACATGGTATTGATAGTAAATCACACTGTCTTAACGTAACAAAAGCCGATTCACTCTTGCATTGAAAACGCCCGTATTGAATTAGGACGGAAAGGGCCATAGATTACTTCCTATTAAGACCGATTTACACTTCGACAAGTACAGTAGCGAGTTAACTTGCGAACCTGGCGAGTTAAATTTGAACCTCGTTTGAACGGCAATAAGCGAATTAAGTAGCAAGTTAACGATTAAGTTGAACGGAATAGCCGGACCGAGCTATTTTTCGGCGAGTTTAGTGCGAAGTGCTGCCCTCCCGCGCGTCTCCCGCCACCCTCAACTAAACCTGCCGTTCGTGTAAACGAGCGAGTTTAGTTCAGTGCTTAAGTTGACAGGATGCAACGTTTGCGCGCCAAAACGTACAACTGTACTTTTATAATTAAACTCGCCACAACGTTTGTACGATACTGTTTATTGAATATTTATACGTTTTATATTGGGTTAATTAATAATAAATTAATAAAATTGACGGAAGACATCACGTATAAATTTGTACATGAGTATTTAGAACAAGAATGTTTATATAATAGTAGAAGTTCAAATTGTAAAATTAAACCTGCTCGAGATGCTACACTCATGAAAATTCTTAAAATCTTCTTTAATAAGAACCATTAATACTTCTCTGTCTGGATCATTTAATTCTTGATGTAATCCTAGAACCATCTTAAACTAAAACCAGTAAAATTGTATATATATATATATATATCGCTACTGCCCAGCCCACTTAACCGTTTACTGTCGACTGTCCTGTAGCTAAGCTCGCTACTGTACTTGTCGAAGTGTAAATCGGTCTTAACTCGTTATAATATTGTGTTTTCATTATTATTAGGCGGCAGAAAACTCGGGCAACAAATTGACGGACAGCGAACGCAACGGAGTTGTAACAGAATGTAACAATCAACTGCGTTGGCTAGAAAATAACCCAGCTGCCTCCGCAGCGGAACTGGAAGAACATTTGAAAGCGGCGCAGGCAGCGTGCCAACCCGCCATGTTGAAATTACACGGAAACGATGCGCGCAGAGCAAGTAATACTAGTGGTCCTAGAATTGAGGAAATCGAATAACTATCATCAGGCAACCCTTAGAATGATGCACGAAACAAATAATAAAGTTTCATTAGGAAATGTACTTTTTTGTGCAGGTTAGACTTTAGACTAATCTACCAAAAAAGGTTTACACAAATAAAATAATTCAATGATGAAAGTGGTTTATTTTTCTCACAACAAAGCAAAAATTTATTACAAAAATATAACAATTTATAGTAATTATATTTTTTTTACACAACGATAAATGCACCTTGCATATGGTAACACTGCCACGTGATAAACATTTGTCCTTTTATTCCTTGTGTAATTATAAAAATAAAATGCTAAATAAAAATATTTCTTATTCATAGCTTTATTAATAAAACTAAATATATCATTACTTATGCACTTTACAAGTCTTTTTAGAAAAATAAAAGAACGACAATATGTTCTAAGATCCAGTACCTAGTAATAAAAACTCAATGTTTCTCGCGGATCTATTACCTACGTTGCTTCATTTTCTAGTAAGTCGGTGAACTAAAACTGGCACGACACTTACACTTTTGTTTGATTGTGCAGCACTGTAAATGAGCGCACGGGATGACGTCGCACTGCATGCGCTCCATGAAAATGTACATAATATGTCTTTTGCACGCAGCCGAGCTTAGAAGCGTTTTAGTTTTGTTTTTGTAACTATATGAAATGCAACGTGCTTTTTACGTTTGTCTAAGCCGGCAGTCAACCGTCACGTATTACTGTAATCGGTTTATTTTAAGGTTAAGATAGAAAAAAAAGACGTGTGGCACTCGGGGATTGCCGCGGTAAAGCTATTGTATAGCATTTTGTATCAACTTATGCAATTATAATTATTTATTTATTTTATTTATGCAGTATTTCTTTTATTTTGATATTAATTCAAGTTACTTAGGTTAATCCAATCAAATTCAACCAGATTTAACCGAACCCGCGTTATAACGAACTCACTATTTGTGAAAAATACTGTATCACCGGACCGCGTCGCAAAAAACTCAGGTTCGCGCAGTACATACGTCAGGGCGGCCGTACGGCAATTATATTAACAAGACGCGCAACTACTCAGTTCCACGCTCCACGGCAAGATTTGTCACTTATTATTTATTGTCCAATTAATTGTCTTTAAGTTCAAATGGCACGCTCTATTAACATAAGTCTAAGACAAAACAAGGAGACTTTCAATATATGAACAACTATATTTTTCTAACTGTTGTTTTAAACTGTTATAATATATTATAACAGTTTTAAATATTACATTGTACACGCGGTTAGTTCAGTTCAGTCGTCGGCTGTGTTCGCGTTTTGTTTAACGAAAAATAAACAAAAACAACAATAGCTTTTTCACGTAATATGGGGACCTGCTATCAAAACATTACGTATATAATTTAACAGATAACAGTGTCATTGTCATCTCAGCTAGACAGCTAACTGAACACTAAACTGATATATTATATATTACAACAGCCAAATTAAATAACAGGCACAACAGGCAACTAATGGAGGAAATAATATATTTTTTACCGTTATAATTTAGTGTTAGTAAAATAAGCTCTTATTAAGTTCGCTTAGAGTTTAAATTAGTGTAAGCTATACGCAATCCTTGTGGCATAATGAATGTAGGTAGTATTTTATTGACCCCCATTGTCTCGGCCGACGCGACGGTTGGACCGTAAACGTAAACAGATGACGCTTTCTAACGATAATGAATATAATATTATAACAGTCAATGGTTCATTATTCTAATGTGTTGTAAGATTAAAAATATATAATGAAATATATTATCTGTTGTATGTTATAACGCCCAACTTTAGGGGTGACCGACCGCGCGCACAAATGCAGCTAGCCTCCCCCCTCCCGCACCTCACTAATCGTAGCTTCACACCGCTTGAGATAAGACGATCTACTATCAGGCGCTAACAAACCCCCGTCCCGGACATAAGGACCTATGTCCGCGAGTAAATTGGCAATTAGAAGACGCTTTGTATTGTTGGTTTTTACAAAAACGATCAACTGGGCAAATGATATCTGGCCCTTTGCTTTGTGAAAAAGCATTACAGTTAAATAAAAAATTAGGTGACGGCGGCTCGTTTGTCGCAAGTAACGGATGGTTATATAGATTTATATCTCTTCATGGAATTTAATCAATGTTTATTAAAAAATAATAATTTCTTAATAAACATTGATTTTCGTTGAAATTGTTGTTTTTAATAAACACATAACATTATGTATGTACATATGTACTACAATTGCACAAAACCCGCTTTTCTTCATACATTCTATCATCCGGATTTTCGATTATCCGAATCCCTAACGGCAACAATTAGTCCGGTTAATCGAGTATATATATACATATTGAGAATCTAAATTGAGAATTTAAACTATACGCGTGTGTGTGTTTGTGTGTATATAAAGAGGGCTACTTTTAATATCGCTCATTTTAATATCAAAAATTTAGGTTATCTTTATAGCAGTATTATATTTTCAATTCAAAATTAGTACTGCATTTGTGATAATAATAAAATGTAGGTATGTATATAGAGTACTCACTCATTTTCTTTCACTATTTTTTCGTGACTTTCTTCATTAATAATAAATGCACTTTGTTCATTCATATTCAAAATTTCAAAACACTTTATACACAAACACCGTGTCGAAGACTGAGGAAAAGAAACGACGTTAGACCATCGTTAGACAATGCACGGCCTTCAAGCCACACTTCCGTGCCCGTCGGAGAGCGTGAGGTTTTTTTCGTTACGAAATTTCTGGATTTTCCCGCACTCAAGGCCCGCGATAGAAGCTATGCAATAGCTTAAAAAATTATGAATGGCTTTGCGTGCTTGGAAGCTAATCCCATCGGCCGTGTGATATATATAATTTTTTTATATATATCAAACAATATATTAATAGACTAATAATTATTATTAATTAGATAAATTTCGCATGCAAGCTAAATACTTACATCTTTTCCCCTTCTTACGTTACGGCGGACTTTCCGTTGTTACTAAAGGCAATGAAGAGTAAAAAATACATTGCAAAATGGTAAGTAAGTTACTAAGACAAGATACCTATTCTGACTAAGATCTATGCTGCCCAACTCAAGCAACTTGCAAGGTTATTCATCGCGAATTGCTGAAATGTTTGGCTCAGAAGAAATAGGTAGGTAGTGTAAAGAAATGAAATAAATGAATGACTAATGACCTAACAGAAATGTGATCGTATTCTACGAAGTTAAAAATATTGTAAACATAGTTTTAACTTCAGTATTTTGTGTTATTATAACTTAACATATTTTAAATACAAAATGCAATTATAAGTATATAAGTAGGTACTTCGATAGGGAATTTCTACTAAGTTCTGTAATTAGGTACTTGGGTTATTCCGTTTATCCACCCTAAGAAATCCGTGTTCGTTTATCCACCCTAAACGGGGATAATCGAAATTCACTTTTTGATTGTTTTTCCGCCTTTCTACCCCAAGTACAGTTCAACAGAAAATATACTCATACTTTAACATATTATTGATTAATTCTTAATAATCACAACAAACATAAACAAAAATCATATTACGTATTGCATTTAAACCAAATAAAACTTCCTCGTTTTAAATAAGTTATTTATACATTTACAGTTGTATAATAAACTTCCTTCAACTATAAAACATGCAAGTTCGCTTAATATTTCCAAAAAGAAATTATTAGACCACATTAAAAAACAAGACATTATATAACTTGGACCACCGTCTTATATTATCAATACTTGAAACATCGCTCTTACGCAGTTAACTTGCAACTTCTATTTAATTTTGATCTACCCTAATTTATGTTTACTATTTTATTATATGGTTCTGTGTGATTTATTTTAAATTGTATGAATGTACTCATGTAAGTGACATTAGTCTTAATGAGTAAATAAACATCTATAAACCGATACATTAGTACAGTAGACTGTATATCCTGTATAAATTCGTCTGTCGATAAAAGACATTTCAAAATTTGTTTATTACCGTACTATTTCCAATAATGTATTTATATAATTAACATTTTATTTATTTAATTTAAATACCTACTTCCATAAAATATAACTGAAATTAATTGCAGTAACACATTTCTTTCATCATAAGATCTCTCCGAAATGACGTGAATTATGTCACATCGAATAATATGTAATTGAACAATGAAAAGTATTTCAGTGTTGACCCTTAAAAAAGTATGTTTGTATTTTTATAAGTATGTTAATGTCTACTGAGTAATCTTGGGCCAGTTTCTATCATGTTTTTATAAACGACTGTACACAGCCGAGTGGGGAAAATCGGAAGAAACAAAATATACGAATTCCGATTATCCACTCCGTCTGGGGTAGAAAAACGAACACGCGATTCCGAGTCGCGATCCACCATAGGGTGGATTTTTAGGGTGCATAAACGGAATAAGTCAGGTACTTCTGTAGTTGAATTATTAAATAATTAATCTATACACATTGCGTACAATTTCATGGTTGACAATACCTAATTACCTACTTCTTAAGTACATCAGTACTTAATAAATTTAAGTGCGTAACAATAAAAATTAAATACGAAATGATTTCATCTTTCAATATCCTTCCGTAACGTAAAAAATATAAAACGACGTTTTGCCATTATAATTCATCAAATATGCACATCTTTTTTTTTAATTACATTAAATCTTTTTCAACTATTTCATCCTACAATTAAATATACTAAACACGAAACAAAAACTATTTTAACAAGTATTTAAAAAAACCTGTTTATTCAAACATTGGGAAAAAAAGTAAAATTCACTCGCCTAGAACATGCTAGCCCCGACCGAGTATGTAATCTGAGGTCCCGCGCGATGGTAGGAGCGCTGGTGTCAATACTGTAGTCGTGCCCAGCTCTAGGTAACCGACCTATACCTAATTAGAGACATTAAATCAAAGTCCAACACTCTTCACTCAACAATACCAACTAGATTTCGGGTGAGCGCAAGAAATCCATCTAAGTAAATAAAA